CATCATGTATATTTCTCAAACAAAAATAATAAAAAGAAAAACTAAATTATATTGCCGGAGAAGTGCCAGAGCCCTAGCTCCGGTTGTCTTCTCCGACAAGTCAAAATCCCTAACTTGTGAAAACCTGTAAAAATAAAGATCATAAGGGACTATACCCCCTAAATCAAACCCCTTGATTCCAAATCCAACCTTATTTTTGGCTAAAAACCCCTGGATCGTGTGTTTCGAACCAGGTTACACCGATCGGAGGCAATCATGGTGTTTGTTAAACCTGCGTGCATGGGACCATTTTGATGGTCTAAAACTACTTAATCATGTCTCATAATCATGTTAGACATATCCAATCTATTCAAAACATGGAAATATTACAAATATGATTTCAAAAAAAATGTGAAACCGACAAAGTGATGATATGCATTTTTATGCGGGCAAGATCATCATGATTGATCCAAAACTACCTTTGGATATTCCAGGAAGGGAATATGATTGAAATTATAGGATGAAAGGGCATGTATAGAGAGTTTTGGAACTTAGGTTTTTTGATAAAATGAGAGAGTTTTTGTAAGCTTTCAAGCAGGGATTTCGTGTGTCTTTGGTTTTACTTTCTTGCCTTTATATAAAGGAAATGACTTACTAAATACGGAAAGAATAAAGTCATCAAGCCATGTTTAAAACAAGAATCAAACATTTAAAAACTTGCCACTTTTGACATTTTCTTGCCTTCTTGGATCCTTTCACGAATTTGGCATGTTTACTGGGTTGTCATAAGCTGTATTGGGCCTATAAATGATTCATCATGTACTTGGACCATAGGTTTTCTATTTTATTTATTTATTTTGAATTTATTTGAATAAAAACAAAACAAAATAAAAATAATAAGAAAATATATGGCCAAGTGTGAGCAAGCTTAGGATTCTCTCATAAGGTTATGAACATGTTTGAAGCTCAAAAAGTTAAGCCACAAGTCCAAAATTTCAAGTTTGCATGTTTTTGCATTTCATGTATTTCTTCAAAATTTACCAACTTGTGCAATTCATAACTTCCTATTTTCATCTTTTGAAGGTTATCTTTAACTTTTTGGAAAGCTCAATATGTACTCTACACTTTCTCTTTTGGTCATTTTTGCATTTGGAGACTTTATCTTAATGTAAGTTGCCTTGACAAAAAGTGTCTTTTGGTTGACTTTTGAAATGACTTGTAACTTATTAGCTCATATCATTCAAATGAATCATTTTTTGGACTTGAGAATAGAAACAAAGTTGTAGATAATTGAATTTACTTCAAAATAGGCTTTGGTTGGGGAAAAGTTGATGAAGCATGTGAAAGTTATGCTTGGTCAAAGTTCAATTAACTTCTCCTAAGGAAACCCTAATTTAGCAATTTTTTAATTTTGATGATTTGAGGGCTTTCCTTGAGGAATCATGATCAAACCTTGATAAAATTATGAATATCACTTCAAAATGTTTATGTTGACAAAAAATCTTAAAGTTTGATTGTATGTTGACCATAGTTGACGTTTTACCCAATATAGTTTCTTTTCAATCATCTGAGCCATTGACCGGGCAAACTTGTGATGTAGGACTTGAAACTTGACATGAAACTTGTTAAAGACCTATGGAGAACCATGGAAGCAACTTGATACCTTTTCAACCCAAACTTCCTTGGGGAACTCAAAACCCTAGTTGTAGACTCCTTGCTTAGGAGGAGCATTTTGACTGTTCAACCTTTGAGTAGCTTGAGTATTTGAGACCTTTGAAAGAATGTCTTGAAGAAAAATGGGAGGGAAAATTTTGGGGTACAAAAGTTGCCCTTGTTCAATCTTCTTAAACCTGAAGAGTTAGACTGGCATACTCGTCAATTGCAACTTGAAGGTATAAGATGATTGAACACTTAAGTGCCCTGAAATTTGCGCTCGCTGGTGCACGAAGTAACACTATAGGTTGATTGTATCATGAATGGGATTATAGATGCCATTTGGAGATGTGACGGTGAATCATCGGAGATGGAATTATAGATGCCATCCAAAGTAACCATTGACTTCAATTGGAAGAAGTATCAGAATAAATCTACGCTTGATTTAAACTGAGCCAGAAGATGTCTTTAATTATCTTCAATTGGAAAAAGTATCAGGATAGATCTACGCTCGATCTAATCTGAGCCAGAAGATGTTTATGCTCGAATTTAATTGGAATAATTATCAGAATAAATCTATGGTCAATTTAATTTGAGCCAGAAAATGTCTATGATCATTTTTGACTGGAAGAAATATCAGAATAAATCCACGCTTGATCTAAACTGAGCCAGAAGATGTTTGCGTCTGTTTTTTACTGGGAGAAGTATCAGAATAAATCTATGCTCAATTTATCTTAGCCAGAAAGTGTTTTTGCCCAACTTTAACTAGAAGAAGTATCAGAATAAATCTATGGCCGATTTAATCTGAGCCAGAAAATGTTTATGCTTGACTTTAACTAGAAGTATTATCAGAATAAATCTATGCTTGATTTAATTTGAGCTAGAAAATGTCTACGACCTCCTTCCACTAGAAGAAGTATCAAAATAGATCTATGCTCGATCTAATCTGAGCCAGAAGATATCCACGCTCATCTTTATCTGGAAGAAGTATCATAATAAATCTATGCTGGATTTTATTTGAGCCAGAAAATGTTTATGCTTTACTTTAACTGGAAGAATTATCAGAATAAATCTATACTTGATTTAATTTGAGCCAAAAAATGTCTACGATCGCCTTTGACTGGAAGAAGTGTCAGAATAAATCCATACTAGATTTAATCTGAGCCATAATATATTTACGGTCATCTTCAACTGGAAGAGGTATCAGAATAAATCCACGATTGATCTAATCTAAGGCAGAAGATGTTATCTTTGAGGATGACCTTCTGAGGAAATTGCTTAAGTAGCCATTTGTCAGATGTAGCCTTTGAGAAGATTGTCTGGCCATACAAGTAGTTGGTGATGTTTGTATGTTGACTGATTCTTTCCTGAAAAGGTAAAGAGTGAGATGTATGAAATGCATAGCGTAATGAAGTTCTTAAAATAAATGAGACTGTGCTATATGCATTTTGTATGCACATGTCATGATGTTTGTAAATGATGTATGGATGTGAAATGTTGTCAAAGTGTATTAGTAAACTCGAGCAGTATCTTTGTCTGGGAAATAATCCATGACTATTGCTAGGGATGAAGACTATGTGTATCTTCAATCTTGTATGGAATGTTTCCACTGGGAACTCCTTCTCTCTTGTTTAGGGAAACTCCGCTGGGGAACATTGATTTCTTCTTGGGGAGAATAGCTCAAAAACATTGGTTGTTCAACGCTCTACTAGGGATTATAATTCTTGTACACCCTGACTGGGGATAAAAGAGATGGATAAGCTTTAGAGGTACTATCTGACTAATTTTTTGATATGGATATCGACTCATCTGGAAAGAATAAGGTTGAATGATATCTGATCTAGTTTCAGATTCAGTAGCAACTCTCTGGGGATAACAATCCAGACTGTCTTTTGTTGGAGGCGGGAATCCTGTCGGTGATTTGCGGTGGAAACAGACGCAAGCTGGGGAGATTAAACTTCATTGCGGAGGTAAACCCTATTGGGGGAATAAACCCTGCTGACAGAGAAATACTCTATTGAGGAAATACCCTTGCTGAGGAAATGAGCTCTGTTGGAGAGAAGAAATATGCAGAGGGTTCTACAGTTTTGGGGGAATAAACTCGGTTGAGGAAGAGAATTTCCATAAACTGTACTTGGTTAGGAATTTGTAGGTTGGCTACATTACTGGGAAAAAGGTCATATTTCTTTTATCCACTGGGGGAATTTGCTGGTGAGTATGATAAGACTACTCTGTGGGGATAACCCCATGGTGTAATACCCTAAATTTGTCCTACCCCTTTTACTTTTATCTGGCTTATGCATTGTCGCGCTTTTCTCATGTACATAACTCCATTAGGTCATTTAACATTGCATACATTCACTAACAACATAACTCTGCAAGGGGTCGAGAACCTTCAGGAATTAGGGTTTCAATATCGGTTTTTTAGTAGAGATTGCTTTGAGCTAGGGTTTGGGTCTTCTTCACTATTTCTAGCCTCATCATCCATCTCCAAGAGTTATTTAAGCCAGTTATATTGTGGGCTCTGCAAGTCAAGATATCTTTGAAGCTTGAGGTGCAAAAGTTTTGAGTTATGACACAAAGATGTTGTTGTGGAACCATATGGTGATCAAGATGTTGTTGTTATTTGTTGCTTCTAGTACAAGTCATTCAATTGAATTTCATTCAGGAGACTCTACATTATGTATGGAAATTCATAAGGACCAGGGTTTGAGAAGCAGTATCTGTGTTGCAATCACCACTTGGATTGGGGTTCTTTTCAGTGCGCTTATGTTATCAAGTGAACTCGGTTCTGTTTAGCCATAACTATCATATGGTTTGGTTCAACGTATTAAGGTATCGCTTGGTTCCTATCATCATTTGAAGTTTGGTTCAAGACATTTACTTTGGATCTTATGCAAATATTTGAGGTTTTACAGACAGTATTTTGGGGATCTTTTCTAAGAAGGAAGTCATTTGTGCGAGCCTTGACTCTTAGTCACAGTCAACCACGAAAGGTGGACCTTTGACCAATGTATTTTTGGTCACTTTCGATTTTCATCTCGTGGTTTATCTAAGTGTAGCATGGCATGGCACAAATTACAAATGGGAGAGGACTTGAAATTCTAAATGAAACAACAATGGATGGAAAACAACTCAACTTGATTCAAGTTTTGTTTATTACAAATTCAAGGATGCATTACAACTTTGGCGAAAATCCTTACATGTTTTAATAATTCCAAATCAAAGTTTCCATTACAAAAACCATTTCAAGTCATATTCAACATCATTTGCAAATCCAATTACAATTACATTACACCAAAGATATCACAAACAATTTTTTTTTTAGGTATTGGCAGTAAATGATAAGTTCCTCTTCAAAGTCAAATATGGCACTTGTTTCAGATTCCTTGATACTGAGATGGATAACACTGGATAATGCTCTTCCTCGGGTGTAATAAGAATTGATGTTGCAAGTAGAGAAAACATGATTTCCATCTTCAAGCCCTGCACATAATCAAATAAACCATAAACATAAATCATACCATTTTGCAACATAATCATATACTTAGGGATATGCTGAAGCAGTTCACCGTTCATAAAATTCTAGAAGAAAAAATAGAATTCATAACAGAAAGTAACAAAAGAAAAAGAGAAACAAATCACTGTTTTTCTTGAAACTGAATGAGAAAAGACAAACTATAGTATCCACGTGTTGCTTCATTATAGGATAATAATCATTTTCACTTCCTCCATGAGTGATGATTATCATTGTTTATCCGTGTGTTGTAGATTGATTACAGTTTCACTGTTGTTGAAAGATTGTATAGTGTATACTACTCGGTGTTCTTGCTCAGAGTGCGTGTAATATGAGGCAAGCGGGTATTGTGAACATGGGTGAGATACTTGAGAATAAATTGGCTTCAGAGTTGTCGAAGATGACGTAGTCACTTCCCACACAACATCCAACTAGAGCTCATTTACCCTCTTTTGTTGCAAATGGTGAATCGCAGCATCCTAGACTTGACATTCCAGCACCTGATCACAAGGATTTTGGGATTTTTCCAAATTTAGCTACAATCAGAACTGGAAATCCTAGTATTCAAGTATCACAAAAAAGTTCAGAAAGTTCTAATGCTTCTTCAGCTTCAATTCCATCTTCTCCTTCTTCCATCTCCAGTCAACCACTTTCTCAGAGGAAATTGTTGGCAGAATCCCAAACAGGAAAGTCTGGTTTTCAGAAGCTTTTAGAGCCACAACTCCCTCAACTTCCTGGAATTTCTCCTGATAGAGTTGTCTTGGGAAATGTAAAGGTTAAGCTCGGGAGAAGTCGTAGACGATTATAACTTCTTCTCGAGGATGTTGCATGTGACTATGATCCTTTGGATTATTACGAAACAACTGACCAACTTTTGGAACTTCTGCTCCTCTGTTATGAATCTTTGCAATCATACAGATTCGGGGTGCTAGCTGATGGTCGACTTGCTGATCTCATTCGTAGAGTTGCTACCTTTGGAATGGTTCTAATGAAGCTCGACTTGCGCCAAGAACTCAGAACAACACGCTTCTAAAAAACCTCTATGAACCTTCATTGATTATTCAACTGACAGAATTACAAAACTAACAAAAAACCAAAAATAGCAAAATTGTTCAAGCCTCTAACCATTTTCTAACAGCTTTCCTAACTAACCCAAAATAGAAAACCAGCTAACTAACTATCATAACTTCCATAACTAACTTCCTCATTCCCTAACTGATTCTCAACCTCTTCTCCTATATAATCTGTGCCATAACCTTCATTCAGGGGGATTTTTCACCATTTTAACACATAACCACATCTATTCTCTCAACCATTCACATGATTCATTTTTCACAAAATCACCAGAAAAATTCTCTACTCTCTCTCTCTGCACTCTCTGCTCCGTAACCGATTCTACAGCAGAACCTTCATCATTCAACAACCTTATATGAACCTTCTTCTTCTTCTTCAATCTCTCTCTGGATTTCATCTTTGCTGATCTGCAACCTTCAACAACACAACTTCATCCGCATCTCTCTACTTCAAATCTTCATTCAACAACCTTCAACCGCATCAAATTCGATCACCATTTCCATAACAACTTCTACAACAAATCTGCGACGTCTTCTCCACATTGCAATGACATCGCGTCAAGATCTTCGCATCTGCTTCAATATGCTTCAACTTTCATTACAACAACGCAATTGAACCACACAGGTCGCACAGAACAACACTGATATGTAGAAGTAGAAACACACAAAAAGCATCAAAACAAGAAGAAGAAGAAGAAGAAGAAGAAGAAGAAGAAGAAGAAGAAGAAGAAGAAGATTCGTTGTCGTTACCTGATTATACGCATATGGAATTTGTTCTCGCTTTTTCCCCAAAGTCGAAGAAGCACCAGACGTTTTCTCCAGAAGGTAAACATTTGTTATTCGTTCTATAATTCCTGAGTTGGTGTTCAAAATAAAGATGCATTTCTTGAATTAAAATTAGAATAGTGAAATCGACGGAGCATCACCGAGGTGAGAATGGATTGAGATCGGAGATGAGGCCGAAGCTATAGCGAAGGAGAGGTATAGGCGGAGAGATTTAAGATGAGGTCGGTGTAGTCGTGTGAATGAAGTTTGAGGCGAAGAAGAGCGAGCTCTTGCGAAACTGTGTCGTGTTGAGAGAAGATGAGTTGAGATCAAAACAAAGATGGAATATGGCGGTGGCACTAGTGCTCATCGCTGAAGAAGAGGGAGTTGATCAGAGTCACCGTCAAGTTAAAGAGGGAGAGAATGAGCTTTGTATTGTCTCGAGAAGATGAACAATCACAAATTCTAAACCCTTATCTCAACAAATGCAACCGTTTAAGATTTCTCTTGTTTTTCCTTCATTATCTTATTTTTCTGTTTTTAGATAATCATAATAATAATCTGAAGCTAAATCAATGTTGGGTGTGAGGAAAGTGGACTGAAACACCCTTGTGCATTAGGCTCGCAAGAACACATAGGAATGTTTAATGGGCCAAATAGCATCCCTTAGGTCCATTAACGTTTTTTGGAGTATGAATCCTAGTGTACAAAAATTGCTATTGGACTCATGCTTGATGGGCCCTAGAGCCCAGCTGTACTTGGCAGCAACCTAATTCAGATGTTACACCTCCTGATTCTTACTATCTCTTTGTAGAATTTAGGACTTTCCTTAATTTTTTCTATACTTTTGTTAGGATAAAATTGTAAAAACAATAAAAATGGTAGAATATAATAGAATTTCTCCTAAGAATTAATCCTTTAGTTTTTGATAGAATTTTCTCCTCACATTAAAAACTAATAAAAAATACTTTTTCTTTTAGTTTTTATTCATATTTTCATACCGCCGTGCCTCGTTATTTTTGACGCGTTTGTTCATTGTGCAAGGTACATTTTTGGTGATTTCGATCATGTAACATAACAAGTAGTTATGTGATCGAAGCATATGGCTTATGCTCGTGTCTAATGTGACATGCCTTATTTCTCATCGTCCTGAGAAATTCATATCATATTATATGTTGTCAAAATGCATGTGATATTTAATGACGCTTTGCCTTTATCTTAGTTGGATATTGTTTCTGACTCTGTTTGTTTCTTGGTGAAGCTTGCTCGGAACGTACTCCCTGTTTTTTCAGTGCTTTCGTCTGCTCTTGACGACTTGCTCGCTTTTGTAGTCTCTGCTACTACCCTTGTACTTCTTCGCACTTTATTTCATTTCCGCACTTTACCTCTTTCTAGATACCATGAGAAGTAGGAAATAAAGAACGTGCGCTCGAAGTCGTTGTTTAAAGACCTGTACCAGGCATTCCGCACTTCATTTTCTATATGTGTTATGCTTGTGTTTGTTTACTTTCTTGTTGATCGATTAGTCACTCAATTTAGCAATTGAGATCACGACTTCGCTCTCAGTGCATGCTCCCCATAGGATTTTATCGCTTTCCTTTATTTCCTGTTGATCGATGAGTCACTCAATTTAGAAATTGAGATCACGACTTCGCTCTCATTGCATGTTCCCTATATGATAGTTTTGTTAGACTTTCTTTGGTATGCTAATTTAGATAATATCTCTTTAGGTGTACTCTCTCGAGTTTACTGGCTTGCTTGCTTTATCCTTGTACATATCATGTTCCCTTAGGATACGCTTGCTCCGTTCAGACGCGAGTTAGACCTTAGGTTGTAAGCCATGCATGCTAACATTAGGTAGAAACTTCCCCTTTCATCCAAACCTTAGGGCTACCATTGTATGATAACATTAGGTTAGAAATAGGCTAGTCTCCCTTAGACTCTTTTCTTCCCCTTTTTGCATCCTTGCATTAAAACAAAAACTTCTCTTCTTAGAAAATCAAAAACATGCTAATCTTACTTAAACCCTTTTTCAAGGTAATAAAACACAAAACCTATTCAAATCAGTTTGTGCGCTCGAGCACCATTTCTCTAAAACCCTTTTCAGGTAAGGACATGATTAGTTTACTTTTGTGCCAACGCATAAGTCTCCAAAGGTCGAGCTGCAGCTGAAGGCGGAATTAACTTCATCCATAAAAAACACAAACAAACAAAAAACATGTTAGCCGAACAACGGTAGCTCTGATTCCTCAAAAAGGATACGTAGGCATTGGGGTAGGGCCCGAACGAGCATAATTTTATTTTCCCTACATTCTTTTTCCCTTTCTTTTGCATGCATTCTCCCTTCAGTAGTATAGTAAACAGTAAGCATAGATTAAACACACCCATAAGATAGATAACAAGAGTGGATACCATAGAGTACTACGGGCGTGTGGGGTGCTAATACCTTCCCCTCGCGTAACAGACTCCCTTAACCGATCTCTCGGTCGCAAGACCGTGACTTCTTCCTTCTCAGGTTTTCTCGATGTTTACCTTTCCCTACATATTGGATAAAAGACGTTCGATGGCGACTTCATTGTTTGATGATTTTCAGCCGGTTGTTTCACATGGAAGTGGCGTTGTGGGGACTTGTGGATAGCTTGAACTTTATCCCAACTCCTATAGTCTTGAGAAAATGCTTATTCCTATTTTTATGCATATATTTTTTTAATAGTTAATCATATCCATTTTCATATGCTCACTCAATTTTAGTCATTGGACATTTTTTCAAACAAAATAGAAAAAGTAAAAACAAAAGGTTTGAATTTTTAAATATATATTTTTATTGATAGTTTGCGCATAAATAGACGATTTTGTACAAAGGGACTATAGTCCTAATAAGAGGAAATCGTCGTGAAATGAAAAGAGTACAAAGTGTAAACAAGATAATAGCCATGTGGAAATGATCTCGTCGGGTTCCAACTCTGCTATTGTCCCTTATGTCTTCAATCATCTCATCCCTTGCTATCGGAAGAAAGTGATTGAATTAATCTGTACTGTTTAAAATTGAAGTTGGTAATAAAGCCTATTGTAAGTGATCCAACAGGGACATAGTCGTACGCTTTAATCCCTAACTTTTTCCTGGACTGCTTTTTCGAGTTTTCAGTCCACAAGCATACCCTTTTTTTCCCAAGCCGCCTTTTCAGGTTTTCGACTTGCTGGGTGTACAATCTTTTATATATATCCCTAATTTTTTTCCGGACCTTTTTGGTTCGTCGGGATGCTCTTATTTTTGCCTAGGCCATTCAACCTAGTTAGTCGATGTGATACGGTGGGAGAACTGACTAGGGTTTTGCGTTTGTTTTTGCAAATGTTTCGGTTGAGCGAGAGTCGCCACCGACTTTTTATTTTATCCTAAGGAAAGGTTAAAAAAGCACAGCAAAAACCTTTTGAGATATTTTCTTGGGTTCGGGGAGTAGATTATAGAAAGGGAAGGTATTAGCACCCTTTCTATCCATGGTTATCCATGGGCTCTTAGTTACTTGCTTAGATCAACTTGCCTTAGTTTTCAATTGTTTGAAATGGTGTTTTGTGCATGGTTTTGAAAATGTTTTGAAAAAGATGCCTTGTCTAGGCAACCCTTGTAACAATTCTTTACTCGAATGTTTTACAAAAGGTGCTTGTCTTTTTGAAAAGATGTTTCAAGGTTTTTTTTTTTGAAAGTTTGTTTTAAAAGTGTTTGTGAAGTGTGGTTTGAAAAAAGGCAAGTGTTTTTGTTTTGCAAGTTGGCAAGTACTTAAGAGCTATCTACCCTAAAGTTCTCAAAGATTTTTGCTATGTTTTAACCCTTTTAACAATTTTGTTCCACCATTGCATTTGGTGGACAATCTTGTGTTAGGATGTGAAAGGGACGGGCGCGGGTCATCGTTTGGACCATGATTGTAATGGTGCCAAGTATCTTTGGGCAATTTTTCCTTTAAGGGACTTGATC